CATTGTTTCCTGGTTTTGCTATTGCATAAGATGCAACCTATAGTTACATAAGATGCAATCAGGGCTGGGGCTATAGCTCAGTGGCAGAGCGCTTGCCTAGCAAGCTTGCCTGGGTTCGATCCTTAGTACCACATAAAAATAAATAAAATAAAGGCATTCTGTCCATCTTCAACTACAAAAATTAAAAATAAAATAAAAAGATGCAACCAATAGAGATTCTGGGTTTTTTGTTTGTTTGTTTGTTTGTTTTTTTAAAGGCAACCATTAGGGGAAATGGTTGAAAGGTACACAGCACCTCTGTGTACTAATTTTGTAACTTCTGGTGAATCTATATTTCAAAAGAAAGAGGATTTTTGTTAAATCAGCATAAAAAATAATGACAGAGATTGAGGATTTGATCAATACTAAAGTTTTCCCCTATTTTTAATTTTTTAATTAAAAACATTGAATTATATTTATTATTTTCCTATTTTTAATTAAAAAATAGGATATGCAGAAAATTAAAATCACATTTCTACAGACTATGCTTCTAATTTTAATAATCATAGACAAGACAACTTGAAAGAGTCCCAGAATCCTTTCCAGCCCACTCTGGGCTGGTCCCATGTCAACTAAGTTCCTTTCCATCAAGTCCTTTCCATTTTTCTATTGCCCTGTGGAGAAAGGCATAGAGGTTTATTTAGAAAAGTAGATACTTATTCACAGGACAATGGGGACCATCTCAAGAGAGAGAGGCCTTTGGGCTACAGCAAAGAATATAATACAAGCCCAAGGGAGAATGCCGGCATCTCTGGAGGAGACAACCTTCCATCGGAAGATTTTGACCACTATGCACTGTCTTTCTTTCTTTTTTTTTTTGAGAGAATTTTTTTAATATTTATTTTTAGTTTTTGGCGTACACAACATCTTTGTATGTGGTGCTGAGGATCGAACCCAGGCCGCACGTATGCCAGGCAAGGCGCTACGGCTTGAGCCACATCCCCAGCCCGTATGCACTGTCTTTCCTCCCCTACCAGAGTTGCTATTGCTGCAGTTTGGATCTGGAATGTGCCCCCCAAACCCACACGTGGTATAGGGTTGGTCCTCAGCCCATAGCACTATTGGGAGGCAGAGGAGCCTTTCAGAGGTAGAAGAAGTTAACTTCCTAGTGGGAGGAAGTTAGGTGGCTGGGAGAGTGCCCTTGAGGGGGATATGGGGACTGCAGCCCGTCTGATCTCTCTCTTTGCTTCCCAGCCACCATGAGGGGAGCCAGTTGCTCCCTGACACATTCCCCACCATGATGTGCTGCCTCACCATGAGGTCACCTGATCATGGCCTGGAACCTCTAAGACTGAGCCAAAATAAACCTTTCCTCTTTTTTCAGGTGATCATCTCTGGCATTTTACTAGAGAAATGGAAAGCTAACAATAATTCATTGGCCCATTTTCTTCTAACTGAAGAAAACTGACAATTCATCTGCTTTAAAAAGGGTTTTGGGTTTTTTTGGCAATCAGGCACAGAGGTGTATGCCTGTAATGCCAGCTACTCAGGAGGGTAAGGCAGGATAATCACAAGTTTAAGGCCAACCTGGCACTTTATTGAGACCCTGTCTTAAAAATTAAAGTAAAAAGGATTTGGAGATTTAGCTCAATGGTAGAACACTTGTCTAGCATGCACAAAGCCCTGGGTTTAATCCCTGGCACCATAAAAAATAAAAATATATTTTTAAAATTTTGTTTTCCTGAGTTTCAGGTGAAGCAGGCACACATTGTCCCTAAGCAAATTTCAAGGCAGTGTGATTGATTGATATCCTTTAAGCCACCTGATATACTAGCCCTTCTAGGTCTGAAAATGACCACTGCCCCAACTCAAGTGTGATGATAATTAATGTAGATCCTTTTCCTGCCACCCAGGGAGACCATCTTGCAGGGCAGTTAACCAGGCAAAACCCAAACCCTTATGAGGCAGCAGGGAAAGAGAAATAAGATTCTCTCTGGAAAGGATAAATTTCCTTTTTCTGTTAACTTGTCAGAGGATTCTTGGCTAATTGCTGTTATCCCAAATATAAAAAGAAGGGAAATGTCTCTATCACAGATCCTGTTTCTCAAATATTTCTCCAAATGTATTTTTTTTCTCCAAAACAATCCTCTTTCTGTCACCCAAATCACTGTAGTCTAGGGTACACTGTCAATTGCATCTGCAATGACAGGCAATGGGTGAGGTAATTAGGAGGTGTATAGTTAAGGAACAACGCAATGGTTTTCTGCCACTTGGTTGACTTGATGCCATCTTTCCAGAGACTCCTTGTGATTGCCTGTGATTCTTCAGTCCCTTCTATCAGAGTTCTTCTGGTTACCTCATCATTTATTTACCCTGCAGCCTAAAGTCAACTGTTGAATCTGGCCCTTTCGGTGTATGGGAGATCAGAGTCCTTTTTTGATACACCCCAAACACACCCTTGTTGACTTCTGGGAAATCTGCTCTTCCGAAGCCAAATGTCACATGAAACGGCCAGAGTTCCCCTGAACCCTTATTGTCAACCCTTAGCTTTCATAAGATACCTTGTCAGGATGATCATCACTCGAAGATAGCTCTCCTGTCTTTAGTTTTGAAAATGCTAAATCTGGCCAGGCACAGTGGTACATTCCATAAACCCAGCAACTTAAGAGTCTGAGACAGGAGGATTGCAAGTTCTAGGGCAGCCTCAGCAATTTAGTGAGACTGTAGTGAGATCCTGTCTCAAAAAATTTTAAATAAATGAAATGGACTGGGAATGTAGTTCAGTGGAAAAATACCCCTGGGTTCAATCCCTAGTACCAAAAGAAAAAAGAGATGCTAAGTCTCAGGGCTGGGGATGTAGGTGAGTGGTAGATCACTTGCCTACCATGAGACTTGCCACATATGAGACCCTTGTTCCATTTCCAGCATCCCTTCTCAAAATAAATCTAAGTCTCTCTCTCTCTCTCTCCTTTTTCTTAGGGGGGGTGGGTACCAAGATTCAGGATTCAAACCACCCCCAACACACACATCCAAAAAAAAAAAAAAACTTAGTGTCTCTCTCTCTCCCTTTTTTTTTTTTTTTTTTTTTTTTTTTTTTGGTACTGGGATTCATCCCAGAGGTGCTTAACCACTGAGCCATATCTCTATCCCTTTTCATTTTGAGATAGCATCTAACTAAGTTATTTATGGCCTTGCTAAATTGCTGAGGCTGGCCTCAAACTTGCAATCCTCATTCCTCAGCCTAGTTATTCTTTGAAGAGGAGTTTTGTTTGTTTATTTGTTTGTTTTATTTTGCTTTGCTTTGTTTTGCTAAATTTCTCTTCCCTAGAAAATAGCAGGTAAAGTCTCTGGGTCCATCATCAGTGAACTTTCAGCTACAATTGGTACAGAGTCCACTTCAATTTACTACCTTATTGAAAAATCAAAACTACCAAGAAAGCAGACAAGAAAATACTGAACTTTTTTTTTCTTTTGTTGTACTGGGGATTTAACCCAGGGCCTTCCACATGCTATAAAGTGCTCTATCACTGAGCTATATCCCCAGCCCTTTTTATTAAATTTTGTTTATTTATTTATTTATTTATTTATTTAGAGACAGGGTCCTGATAAATTGTTGAGGCTGACTGGGTGCAGTGGTGCATAACTATAATCCCAGCAGTTTGGGAGGTTGAGACAGCAGGATCACAAGTTCAAGGCCAGCCTTGGCAAATTAACAAGGCCCTCAGCAACTTAGTGAGATTCTGTCACAAAATAGAACACAAAAAAAGGCTGAGGAAGTGACTCAATGGTAAAGTGCCCCAAGGTTCGATCCCTGGTACCAAAAAAAAAAAAAGTAGAAATAAAAAGGACTGAGGATGTAGATCAGTGGTAAGCATCCCTGGATTTAATTCCTAGTACCAAAAAAAAAAAAAAATTGTTGAGACTGGCTTCCTATTTGCAATCTTCCTGCTTCAGCTTCTTGAATTGTTGGGATTGCTGGGATTACAGGTGTGCCCACCACTCCCAGATCTCTGAATTTCTTTGGTTTTTCTTTTTTAAGTCATAATATTGTATTATGCAAATGAATATTAAAATTAATTTTCAGGTGACATTGAAAGAATTCATACTTAAAGAATATATTAAACAGCTAATTCTAACTGTTCACAATATTCAGTAAATCTCAGGAGAAAAGGGAAGAGGGAAGAAAAGCTGAATTCCCTATTTTCATGACAATTAAATATGAGTTACTACATGCTTGAATCCCATGATTCAGCAGTACTCTTATTCCATTCCCCTCCTATGGTTCTGGACTACTGATATAGAATAAAGAAAGTCAACCAGAATTGGATTATAAACATGCTTTATTGTAAGTAGATAATGGGTACTGAGAATGATAAAGCAAATGCAAATTCAAACTGGTAAAGAAGAACCAAAAAAATTAAGAGATTCCTGCTGAAGAGTGCAAGACAGGTGTACTCCTTCATATTTGATCTATAACAGGTTTTCAGACCACAAGGGGATAACCAACACAGTTCTATGATCAAACTCTACATCCAGCCAGGTACCTTGACAATCAAGTTCTAGCTCAATGATACTACCTTGTCTTCTCTCAGTCATGGTAAAATAATGATAATATTGTGATGAACTGAAAGCAATGGGTTGATCATACCTATTGGAGAAGCTAGTAGTATATGAATGGATTAGTCCTTAGAAATGGGCTTATTTTCCTGCATGATTTTCTTTATCCAGTCAAGATAGTTCTTAACCTTTGTGTAGATTCCATAGGTCCCACACTTGGGTCCCCAGGACACCAGGCCAGCTACATAGAATTTGGGGGTATCTTCATTGGGGTCCTGTACAGCAAAAGCCCCACCACTGTCCCCTTGACAGCTGTCAACACCCTTCTCTCCTCCAGCACAGATCATGTTGTTAGTGAAAACATACGCAGCTGCATTCATTTTGGAATTTCCCCCTTTCACTTCTCGGCACTTTTCTAAGGGAGCTACAGGTAACTTTGCCCCTCTGAGATAGAGAACATGATCTCTTTTCTCAGTTCGACCCCAGCCTGAGATCATTCCCAGGTTTCCTGGCAAGAGGTTGTATTCTGAGGAGGTGCCTGGCAGGCAGATGGGGGAGACATTTGGTCCCATTTTCACAGGGTCCCTCAGCTGCACCAGCGCGATGTCATTGTCAAAATTCGTTCGTGAACTGGAGTCATCCACTGATTGCCAACGCGGATGAATAATCACACGTTCAGCGGTAAGCATCTGGGTGCTATCCAAACCTGAGGTTCTCACAGTTGTGGATCCGACATACATAGCTGGGTCTGGATTTTCCTCCACAACGTGGGCAGCCGTCAGTACCCAGTACTCATCAATGAGAGCCCCACCAGCCCACGGGTGCTTAAAGAAGACTTGCCAGGGGAAATTTTTGATATCTGCACGGGATCCTCCAAATATCCTCTGTTGCATTGTAAAGGGCTCACTGGGGACTCCACAAACTAGGAAAGAATAAGAACAAGATGGAAGGGACAGGAAATGATGATGGCCGCCTGCAAATCCTCCCACCACTGAAATACCTTTGCCTCTGGCTGCAGAGTTCTCCAGTATGAGATAGTCAACCTATTTGGTCAACCATCTCCATATCTGACTTATCCTAGCCTTCCTTAAATATCCCCCTTTGCCAATGTCATAAGCAGGCTCTAGGAGAGTAGTTCAGCACAGCCGGGCATGGTGATGCACACCTGTAATCCCAGCAGCTCAGGACGCTGAAGCAGGATGATCACCAGTTCAAAAACAGCCTCAGCAAAGGTGAGGTGCTAAGCAACTCAGTGACACTCTGTCTCTAAATAAAATACCAAATAGGGCTGAGGATGTGGCTCAGTGGTCAATTGCCCTTAAGTTCAATCCCCGGTACCCCCTCTCAAAGAGGGGGTGCGGTTCAGCACATGAGGCCAGGCACCCAACTGGGAACCAGTGCTGGAAAACTCCTTCCTCACACAGACTGCAGAGGAGGCAAGCTTTATACCTTCTACTGATGCCCAGATGAAACCTCTATTTAACACCTTCTTTACTGAAGTCCTGGTTGCACCTGACTCCCTCCTAGCAACCCAAAGGTCAACCTATGATGGAAAAAAAGAGGGTTCTCTTCTTTGATCTTAACCTCTTGCTCTCCATGGGCTGGTTCTAGGTAAGACTGCTTTGCATTCCCTAGTACTGAGTTTCAGATGAAGCTGGATTATATCAGTCCCTTGTTAGACAGTCTGAATAGACTTTGAATTGAGCATAATGAACTTTGTACCCAGACAGAGCTGGGTTCAAAGCCTGCCCCTGACTCTTACTGAATTCACTCATCCATAAATGGGACCTCATAGGATTGCTACAAGGATGTGGAAGAGATAATAAATGCAACAAATTGGCTTGGTCTTTAGTTTTCAATAGCATTATTATTATTACTAGGATCATTATTATTATTCTTGTTTTGCCCTGTTGTCTTCTACTCAACTCTTGATTTCTGATCTTCCTGTAACCCCCATTTACTTTATTCCTCAATATCTTCTTTCCACATAAATTTCTTTCTTTCTTTCTTTCTTTCTTTTTTTTTTTTTTTTTTTTTGTACCAGGGATTGAACCCAGGGGCTCTAAACCACTGAGCCATATACCCAGCCCTTTTGATTTTTTATTGAGACAGGGTCTTGCTAAGTTGCTTAGGGCTTCACCAAGTTGCTGAGGCTGACTTTGAACTTACTATCCTCCTGCCTCAGCCTCCCTAGCTGCTGGGATTATAGGTATACCTCACCACACCTGCCTGCCACATAGACTTTTAGTATAATAACTAGGCTATATGGGGCTGGGGTTGTGGCTCAGTGGTAAAGCGCTCACCTAGCATGTGTGAAGCACTGGGTTCAATCCACATAAAAATAAATAAATAAAATAAAGGTAATGTATCCATCTATAACTAAAAGAATTTTTTTAAAATAACAAGGCTATATACCCACACTTCTTTCTGAGTATGGATTCCTCACTCTCAACTTTCAGGTCCTGCTTTTAGCAATTCTGTATCTGCTTACCTCATCTTCATCACCAGACTCAACTGGTCTTGACTCTGACACTCACTGTTGCTGGCTGACTTGCCTATTTTGCTTCGAGTAGGCCTGACTCAGTGTGGTGAGGGAATTCCTTCAGCCCAGTGTTACAACCTTTCACTGTGCTGGACTCTAGAAGACCTGGACTAAGTCCTTTCCCAAGAGGATTGCAGCTGCTTTCAGAAGGTGACTCCCCACTCCACTGCACCTATGGCTCCAGTCTCTGCCCACACCAAAAACCCTGATTACCTGGAATACATTTGGGCAACTCAGTGCCCAGCACTTCATTCACCCAGCTCCCGTTAACAGCACAGCGATACTCCCCTGGAATCACACAAGGGATACATGTCAACACCACCACATCTTCCCTCTTCCACTTTTTCCTTTCAGGCAGAGCCTCGGCTCCTCTGAGATTTGAGAAGGGGGTCAGAACAAATCAACTAGAAGATAATCTTGAGCATCCCCCAAATAATCCCTCAGGCCTCTATCTTGCTAAAGAAAAAGAAAGAATAGTCTTCAAAGCCAAAGGAAGAAGGGTTATGATAGAGACTGAGAAAGTGCTTCATGTGGGAAAATAATTTTTTAAATGTTAATAATATAATGAAAATCATTGTAGAAGGGTCTACTTTGTTTCATCTAGCACTGCCAGGGCCTTTACTGCAAGAAAACCAGTCATCAGCGGGGTACAGTTGCACATGCCTGTAACCCCAGAGACTCAGAAGGTGAAGGCAGGAGGATGGCAAACTTGAGGCCAGCCTTAGCAAATTAAAAATAAAAAGGGTTGAGGATGTAACTCAATAGTAAAGTGCCCCTGGATTCAATCTCCAGTACCAAAAAAAAAAAAGTCACCACCATATGACGACTTGCAGCTGTGTTGGGGCGGCCTTGAACAGGAGTTGAGCACCCCCTTAGCCTTGAGTAACAGGGGGTGTGGAACTGGCATCATCCTGTGTGTGAGGCAGGTGGGCCTCACCTTCACTCCACAAGGGAGTGTGCATCACCCAATGGGACTGGGCTACACCTCCATATTTGCTGTAACACAATCTCTTTGCTTTATTTGGGTGGAATCTTCTATCGAATGTCTCCCCCCTAAATAAAACAGGGGTTCAGGATGTGCTCTCTCTCTGGCCTCTTGCCTCATGCCTCCCTTGTTCCCCTTGCCCTCCAGCATGGGAGCTGAGGCCTCAGAGTCATCCTTGAACCCCAAAAAGGGTTTTTCTGTGTTTGTGTGGTCTTTTCGTTGCCAGCCAAATTCAGGAGGGGTGACCCTGACTCCTTCGCCTGTGTGGGCCATACAGCTGGAAGTTCTCCTGTGAGTTTTACATGAAACAACTGGTCCAGGGGGATAACCATATGAAAGGAATGTTGTAGGGGAATTCCTGCCGTAGCTGCAAAGCTGAGTTGGTGACCTTTAGGATTTTCTTGAGAACATACCCTGCCCCATGTGAAAACTGTATCCTTACTGGAAGCCAAGAGGATGACAGTGTGTGTTGTCTCCCCCATTTCTCTACAAACCCTCCCCAACCCAGAAAGATTTACTGTTTGCCCTCTAAGTGTTCACATTCCCTTTCTCTCTCTTTCTCTAGTAGAAGAAACCTACCTCCTTCTTCATGTTCCATGTAGTAATATGGCTCCTCACAAGTGTAGCGAATGACAGAACCATATAAAGTATTTTCTGGAACTTCAAATTTACCATTCTGAATGGGTTCAGGAATGCCACAGTCCACAGCTATAAGAGGAAGGGAGGAGACTGATGGTCAGGACAGTCACCCCTTCCCAGGAAGAATTATGGGATCAGTTCCATTCTTACTTCTTCCCCACCCCATATCCATAAGCACAACCCCAAATGAATCTCCCCACACCACTCTCCATGACCATCCTCTTCAATGGGCATCACCCCACTCTCTAGCCCATCAGCATATGCCAATCCAGATTGCCCACTGAAAGCTAAAATGAAGAGCCTGGTTCTTAGAGGTTGGCAGAGGTCCTGGAGAAGCCAGGAAGGCACCCATTTGGAGCTATTAACTATCAATCCCAAAGCCCCTTTCTTAGCCAGGCATGGTAGCATGTGCTCCCAGCAACTCAGAGGTTGAGGCTCAAGGATCCCAAGTTTGAGGCCAGTCTGGGCAACTTAGTGAGACTCTGTCTCAAAATAAAGAATAAAATGGACTAGGAGTATAACTCAGTGATAGAGCCGCCCTGGATTCAAGCCCCAGTACTAGGAAGGAGGAAGGGAGGGAGGAAAAGAGGGAGGGTGGGCAAAGTTTCTTTTTCTGCGGGGTGATGGGGGGGGGGATACCTGGGATTGAACTTAGGGGTCCTTAACCACTGAGCCACATCCCTAGCCCTATTTTGTATTTTATTAAAAATAAGCTCTCACTGAGTTGCTTAGCACCTCACTAAATTGCTGAGGCTGGCTTTGAATTTGCGATCCTCCTGCCTCAGCCTCCTGAGCCGCTAGGATTACAGGCATGCGGCACCACACCCAGCTTCAAAGTTCCTTTCTTTAGAAGAAATCTGCTAGTCTAGCTGGCCTGGGATCATGCATGGTCTGGGTCTAGAAATTCTTCCATGACTGACTTTCCTTAAAAACCCAACCCACTCTCTCATAACCCTAAGAGTTATTTGTTTTTTTGTTGTTGTTGATTGTTTGTTTTTTCATTTGTAGATGAACACGATGCCTTTATTTTATTTATTTTTATATTGCACATTCTAGGCAAGCATTCTACCACTGAGCCACAACCCCCGCCTCATACGCTTGATTTTTATGTGCTGATTTTTCAGTTCCCTTGGGGAGAAAAAAAAAAAGTTCCACATTGAAGAGACACCTACGTTGACATTTCAGTTTGGAATTACTCCACTTTCCATTGCTTTGACAAGTCGAATCGAAAGATGTTGAGCCAACACTTCCCTAGAGAACAATTATAGATATCAGCATTAATTTATACAGAGAGAAATGGGAAATCAAAACCGAAAATGAAATTGATCTCTGGACTTGGATTAACAAGGATTCCTCACCAAAAAAGGCTTGGGAACAGTTTAGCAAATGACCCAAAACACCCAGGAGTTGGGGCTGAAAGAGACAATTGTGTCCCAGCATATCCTGTCCTCTTCCCCAGGAAGGCTGAAGGCAGAGAGAATGCCCAACTGGCCAAGGAGCCCCATGGCTCACCTAGGACTGAAGATCTTGAGCTGTTCTATGGAACAGGTGTTAATACCTTAATCAAACAGGGATGTTTAGGCAACAACTGGACAATTTCAGTATGCTCATCCTGATCTGGTCAGAGATTAGGGAGAAGCCCAAATGGTACTTTACCTCTACAACTTCGAACCCTTCTTTACAGGTTATCTTCACCATATCTTTAAACACATATTTTGCCTTTTCAGGCTCCCAAAAAGAATTGGCAGAGACTTCTTTCGGACAGGGGTTTGCTTAGAAAGGACAAAGTTGGGACAAAAAAAATATTTTTACTAAATAGTTGGAGACTGTTCTATTTACATCATTCTCACTTTCTTTTTTTTAAATATTTTTTTAGTTGCTGATAAACCTTTATTTTATTTATTTATATGTGGTGTTGAGACTTGAACCCAGTGCCTCACACCTGCTAGGCAAGTGCGCTACCCCTGAGCCACAGCCCCAGTCCTCATTCTCACTTTCTAAAATCATTTAATTGTTCTCAATTCCAATGCCTAACATTCTAATATGGCAGATAACTAAAATAATATGGTGTTACTAACTAACCATCCCTAGGTTGTCCACATTCTCAGGTCTAGTTGAAGGATTACTATGTTGAGGCATTTCCATCAATAACTGACAGATTTAGATCTTCTGGAGAAATTGATGTATCCCAGAATTCTATCCAAACAACAGTCTACCTGTTTTGATTCTACATTGTTCAAGGACCTTAATGTCACCAGCTAAAAAAACACTTTTAGGTTACTCACGATCTCCATGGTAACGAAATTTCCAGCCTTTTTTTTGCCCTGTTAGATCAGTTTGAAAGATAATATCAAGAGTGTTACTCTTGGTTTCAATAGTCAGGGGCCCAGGGAATCCATTACCACAGTAAGGACCAAATTGTTGGTTTCTTGCAACAAACTGAAAGAAAACAAAATGATTAAATCAGAAGAGAAAGAATTTAAAGGGAAGAAGTTTAAATGGAAGGTATAAAAGGGACAGTCAGGCACAGTGGAACATGCTTATAATCCCAGCTATTCTGGAGGCTGAGGCAGGAGGACTGCAAATTCTAAGCCAGCTTCAGCAACTTAGCAAGGCCCTGTTTCAAAAGAAAAATAAAAAGGGCTTGGGGCATAGCTCAGTGATAGTGTGCCTAGATATACATTACTGCAAAAAAAAAAAAAGTTAAAGGAGATAATAAGGGGCAGGAAGAAAGATAGTTTTATCTTCAAGGAGAAGTAAATTGGGGGCAGAGCAAGAATTAATCATCACCACGCACAACTAAACTGTCATGGCAGTTCCCCTTTGAGTCAGCTGGTTCCACATCAAAATCTTCTCTTCGCATAGTGACCACCACTTGGAACCCTTCTTCCAACTGGATCTGATATTCACACCTTGAGTTCTCTGGATATGGATTGGGATAATTGGGACTTGCAATCTCCCCAGTCAATGTAGTAAACACATCCCCACTGCAGTTGACTAAGAGATAAAAAAAGAAAGGAGAAATCAAATATGGGGTCAAGCAAAGAAGTTCCTGCACCAAACTATGATTCCTTCTGTCATAAACTGAGAGTCCTCCATTCAGACTAATCTAGGATCCATTCCCTGACTGGAGCCCACCAGGAGCAATTATACACCCAGTGCTTATTAATAGGGCTATCCAATGCCTATGAGATTTCTATCACTCTTATGATAGGGATATGAACAACTTTAGGCAGACTCTTCACAGGCATCTATCTTGCTTCTCCAATTAACTAACTTTATACTGTGGCTCTTATGTAACTGTTTGGATTTTAAATGTTTCCCAAAGTCCCATATGCTAACGGCTTGGTCACCAGCCTGTGGCACTACCAGGAGTTGGTGGAACCTTAGAAGGTAGAGTCTAGTGGAAGAAAATAGATTATTGGAGGTGTGCCCTTGAAGGGACTACTGGGACTCTAACCTCTTTCTGTCTTTCACTTCCTGACCGTCATAATGTGAGCAATTTTGCTCTACTACATGCTTCCTGCCATGATGTTCTGCCCTCACCACACACCCAAACAATGGAGCCATCCAACCATGGACTGAAAGCATGAACCATAACAAACATTTTCTCGTTTTTTTAAAAAAAAAATATTTTCAGTTGTAGATGGACACAATACCTTCATTCATTTATTTTATGTGGTGCTGAGGATCAAACCCAGTGCATCACACATGCTAGGCAAGCCCTCTACCACTGAGCCACAACCCCAGTCCACATTTCCTCCTTTTAAATTGATTATCTCAAGCATTTTGTCACAGCAATGAAAAGCTGACTAACACACCTTATCTTGTTCCCCTCCTATGGTTCCCCACTCAGTTATGGGTAACTAAGAATAGATGCCTGAAAGAAGAGCCTAATCAAAATTGGAAGATGGACAAAGCCCTTTCTGAGGCCTCAGTACATTCCAAATCCCCTAGAACATGAATCTCTCTTAATGCCAAGCTCACCTCCACAATTCCTCATATCATCATGGAGAAAGTATTCTGGAGGACAGGAACAGAAGTAACCACCAATGAAGTTGTTGCAGAAGTGGCTACAAGGGACATCTGCAAAATCTGTGCACTCATTTACATCTGTAAGGAGAAAAAGATTGAGGTCAAGCACAAAAGTCTAGAAGGAGGAATGGAGTTAAACCCAAAACTATAAAGGTTAAAAAAAAAAAAAAGAGAGAGACACTAACTGTTAAAGATTGTCAAAGAACCACATTTCAGAGTGCTATTATTCTACATTACTTTCCTGAACTATGATTCCAAAGTTGTGCCCTGCCATTGTACTGCTATAACGGAGCTCTCAATGCCAGAGATCCCTGATTTTTCTTGCATACAGAGTGTTTCAGTGCCAGACACAACACTCTGCAGGCCAAACATGTGCTGTTTTCTGCAGGGAGGAATCATTGGTTCATCTATCTCTTTACACCACATTGGTCCTTCTAGCAGATCTAAGCAATACTTTGACTTTGTGACAAGTTCTAACTTCATTCTAACCTGGAGACAGATACAGAAGTGCCCAGAATTTGAAAGTTTGAATGCCACATTTTGAATTGGTTTGAGTATCCTACATTCCTTATGTAATTTTTGGCAAGTGATTAACTTTATAGTTTTCATTTTCTTTATCTTTTTATGGAGATAATAATACCTACCTTGAAGTGTTGAGACCATATGAATATAGGAAATTTTCTAATATAGTATTCAATTCATAGTGGTTCTCAATAAATTAAGATTTATTATCTACTATCAACATTAACATCATCAATCACCAATAAAATATGATCATGTGTTTGAAATTCACAAAGGTAATTGATGAATTGATGGAAGGAGCCAGGCCAAGTCAATACTTTGTAAAAGTTATAAATAGAATCCTCATTTAATACACAGTACAGTATTTTTACTTTTTCTAATCTTGTCGCTGGATCAGTAAATCATACACATAAGGGTGAGTCTTACCTATGGCAACATAATATGCAGCAAACCCAGTAAATCGTTCCTCGTTGGAAAAGTCTGACTTAAAGATCACCTGGAGTTTATTGTATGGGATTTGGAACTCTTCCACAATTGGGGAGTTGGGATTCTTGCTGGTCCTCTTTCCACAGAGTTTCCCTTCTTCAGTGCCCCCTGACATTATCTAAGAGAAGAGTAAAAATGATGTTATTAAAGGGGAATATTTTGGCATGGAGGTGATAAAGTAGAACCTTGACCCCCATAGAACTACCTGACTCCAGTTCCCTGAATGTCTGTGGCTCTCCCCCAATCATCCTTCTCATTCCTCCACCCCAGCCATGGTCTTCCACCACCATTCTGCATGGTTTGTGATATACCTGCACTGAGTCATATGCGCAGTCCTCTGACAGTTCTATGTCCAGATGAGTGAAGTAGAGGTGAATTCCATACCCTTCAGGAACTTCTATATCCCAAGATTTCTCTATCTCATTGGGGTATGCCTGAGGATAGTTAGGGGACAGGATCTCCCCATACATGGTCGGCTCAGCATAAACCCATGCCAAAAGAGAAAACAAGACAATGCACCTGAAATTTAAAAGGGGGAGGGGCACAGTAATGTGGGTAACCCAGGTACCAACAGCCTCTTGTAGAATTCGAGCATTTATCCCAAAGGGAAGGAAGGAAAAGAGAAAAGGACACCTAGCAGGCCATGGAAGAAAACCTTAGCTTGGAATAAAGAAAAGGCCTAGGTCAAATCAAAATCCTTTTCTTGAGAAGATGAAGGGACTGGAGTCCATGAACATTTCTGTAGACCCCCAATCACTTACCACGTCTCTGGCGATGTGTCCATGTCTCTGGACCTAACTCTCTGTTCCTCTGGACTTTGGAGCTAAAGTGGTGGCCAGCCTGGCTATCCGTCTGTCAAACACAGTCACCCTGCTTTGGTGGTGAGAAGCACCATAAGAATAACATAAGTTTAATAGAGCCATACCATCAGTCTTCACATATGACACCTGGCCTCTCACACCCTCCTTGCTCAGACTTCACTAATTTTCTACACTGGAACCAAATCCTATCTTTCTCCCATTGCTGCTCCGACTTCCTCCCAACTTTTCTCCAGAGCAAGTAGTTTCTCCCAGTTTTCTTCTTTTCTGTTTTCTCACCTCTAGGCCCCCTCAATCAATCTCTCTCCTGGCCTCACAGAACAATAGCCCCATTTCCACCCAGGTTTTTGGGAGTCTGCCCACCTGACCATCTGGCTAAGATAGTTCCCCTCCTTTTCCACCACAAACCTTTTATCACTTCAAGTCAGCCCTCTTTACTATGGTTAGTATAACATGGGTTTCTGTTGATGTCCCCAACGACCACTGATGGAGGAATGAGATTCTTTCAATAAGGGAGGACAGGGTCCTTGGGAGAAATGGTCTGAGAGGGGAAGTGCTGCCCCCACTGAGATAGGATTGCAAAAGGAAGGAGAGAAGGGGCAGCTAATGACAAGACACAAAATCTTCCAGAGTTAGTTCGTTTTTTTCCTTTACTAAGAGAGGATATCTTCCTAGAAAAGTCCTGCCAAAATAGCTTTTAACCCTAAAAACAATGGTACTGTGATGGGGTAAATCGGGGTGGATGGGATCAGCCTAGGAGAAATGGGTTGTCTCTAATTCTGTCCTTTTTTATTCTACTCTTTCCAGCCCACCATCTTTGCCCCAAACCTTTATCTGTGTGGTTCTCTTCCTTTCTTTTCCCCTCCCTCAAAGCTCTGCTCTTCATTTTTAAAGTTTTTACCTTCAGAAACTGATGGGAGCAAGTGGGTCAGCCCTCTCGCTCCTGCCAGTGGTCATTCTGGGCGACCCTGCTGGCTCCCAGGAGCAACGGCTTGGCCTCGATGCTCCCTCTGCAGGAACTTCCGGCAGACCTCCCTGGCCTGGTTCTGTACATAAGATTCTCTATCCAAGTGTGCATGTCCAAAATTCCCTGATCTAAACAAAGAGGGGGCTGGGAGACCATGACACAGAGGGTTATTCAGCCTTGATCCTGGAGCTCCCTCTGCTTTTGAAACAAGAACTGCATCTTCCTCCCAGGCTCAAGTTCCAGGGGAGAAAGGAGGAATGGGGGAATTTCGCAGATTGCCTAATGCTCTTTCCCAGCCAAAGGGTGTGTTTCAGAGTTTTCAGGGAAATCAGGTGACTTATGGGAAAAGGAGGGAATTTATATTAGAAGAAAAAAAACCAAAACCATAAAGTTCAACCCTCTCCCTGTGAATCATGGATTAAGGAAGAGGAGTTGTCCCAAGTGCAGTTCATCCCAGCCTTCAAGGCAAATTTAATGGTTGGATAATGATTTATACCTAGGCCCCAGATGATGTGGACTGAAGTATTTTCCTCTTCCTAAAACCTCTTCCCAAACATCTCGATGCTAGCCACCAATCAAGATAAATCCCAGGGTTGGGGTTGTGGCTCAGTGTTAGAGTGCTTGCCTGGCACATTTGAGGCACTGGGTTCGCTCCTCAGCACCACATTAAAAATAAATAAATAAAATAAAGGTACTGTGTCCAACTATAATTAAAACATTAAAAAATAAAGAGAGAGAGAGAGAGACAAAACCCAACTCTCAACCATGACCCTTGGGGCCAGATGTGCTTTGAGAAGCAGGATGGATTTTACTAAGACAATGATATATGTGGACCCCAAATTAAGTAACATCTCCTTCTTTGCCTTGCTCCAGGTGTGACCAAAAACACGGTCCTTGGCCCTGATGCAATCCAATAATGAGGACCTTTGAATATAACCCTTACTGCCCTGTCACTGCAACTTATTTTTAAAATAGACATGTTTCTTTCTCCTTCCCCTGCTCATCCGAAATCTCTCCCTCTCCTTAATCTCAGGGGAAACAGGATTACCTCCCTTCCCCTTCCTGTCCTTGAGCACTCACCCACCAGAGGAAGAAGTAATCCAGACTTTGGGGATGGCACCAGAAGACCTCAGAGAGGACTATCTCCAAAATTAACAAGTGAATTACAACTCCCACAGAGAATACGTGGAGTGTAGTCTTTGAATTCCTGTTTAAAAGCCTTGTTGCTGCTGATGGGCAGAATCACAGCCTTTGGGACAGGAGTTCCCTGTTTCTCCTTTGCTAGCAAAGCAATAAAACTTCTTTCCTTTTTCTCAAAACTGTGTCCTAGTTATCGGATTGCCATTAGGGACAAGGACCAAGCTTTTGGCAACAAATTTGGTACCCCAGGAGGAACCCGAGAACAACTCGCATTCCAGTTTCCTGGGGCAGGCCTGGCTCTCCAAGGCCATCCTGAGGATGTAAGGCCAACTTGCTAAGAGGTAGCTGCAGGAGAGTTAGGAGACAAATGGGTCTGCCTCAGGTTGAACCATAGGAGCTGTTCCTGTGAGAAAGGGAGGGACTGAGGGATCATCTCAGCAGCTGCCGAAGCTCCTTTTGCTTTAGGGAACCCCCACATCCTCTCCGTGAACAGTATAGGTTGCTCCATAGTGGTCCACTTAAGGAAACTGAACTCAGGAAAGTCGCAATAACCTTGGCCATTTGGTAAATCCCCAGTGTGCACACCAAGACTCTTGATTCCAACACTTCTGGTTTTTCTTTATGGGAACATCTAGTCCCTCTTTGTGGGGACATCTGTGGCACCACTGGTGTAGGAGTCGTGGTTAAGCGGGACTCAAGAACCTAGGGATATTTACCCCTTTCTGGTCTGTTCTAGGTTCTCATCTGTTTCCCTCTGGTTGTCTGTCTGTATTTTTGTTCTGTTTGTATCTGTTACTGTCTTGGTAGTGTCTTGGGAAAGATCTTGGCTGGTCAATTTAAAGGTTCCTGTCCTTCAGCCATGGTTCTGGGGCTCCTCTGGTTGTCTCTCTGTTTCTTTTTTGTATAATCATGCAATTGGAGTTGGTCTGTCAGAGGTAAAGTAAGTTGAAGAAAGGGCCACCTACAGGTATAAACCTGTCTAAAATAATGTTTTATAGTAATGATCTGGCTTTTGAATGACTTTCTGGATTATTATACAGTGTTACAGTTGAAGTTGGTAAAAGGACACTCGCAGAGTCCACACAAAGTCCAAGGACCATGCCACATACCAGAACATCACACGAGAGATTTATTGTTGGTAACATGAGGTATTTCAACAAGGCTGTCCCTCTGAGGAGAGCAGCAGCCTGTCTGTGCTCACAGAGTGGCTTTATAACCCACAAGAGGAATCTCATAAGCTGCTTAGGAGTTCAAGCTGGGGTGGGGTTGATAGCAGGCACATATTCTTACAGGAAGTTAAGCAGCTTTGCCTCAGAATCAAAACTTTGGAACCTGTAGATAAAATGGCTCCCGACCTAAAATGGCAAATCTGATGCCAATATTGATTTGATGCCGATAGTTGGTCTGTCAAAGGTAAAGTAAGTGAAAGAAATTTGTACATGCAGGTCTGTCTCTTTTAAAGGTTTCCCTCTGTCAGCCCTGGTTTCGGTGATCTACTCTTGTCTGTTTTTTTTTTTTTTTTTTCCCTGTTACTGGCCCTTTAAGACATGGTCCATGCTACATTGATCTTGCCAGTAGACTCTTGAGCAGAGAGACCTTGGCAGAATGGGCCACAGTAGATAGAAGCCTAAGACAAAAATGGTTTACTGTGATATATTATAGCCTTTGAATGGTTTTTTGGGGGGATTATTATGCAGTTTTGAAGTTGAAGTTGGTCTGTCAGGGGTAAAGTATATATGAAAGAGATTCTGTATGTACAGGCATTTATGCAGTTGCATGATAAGGGGTCTGAACTGTCAGGAACTAAGTTGAACGTGCCAAAAGGAAGTACCTCTGGTGTGCAATATAGCAGGACACCCAAAGAAAAGATTAAAAAAGATTTCAACCTTTCAACCAGTGCAGGCACTCTAGCACTGTTTCTCAGCCTGGCCCCAGGCAGCCACAGATCATCTCACTGTGGTCAAGGACACTAGCCCTAAACTGGGGGTGGGTGGGGGGAGGAAATCCCAGAAGAGCTTCCTGGGCTTTAAAAAAAAAATGCCAAAGAGAACCTGGCCTCTGCCCTTCCTTCCAGTCCATTTTGCCCATGGGGGTGAAGGCTGATGGCCACAAAGAATATAGCAGTAGGTCCCAGCACTGTCGGTTTATGACCTGGGGACAGGAACAGTAAAGCAGAAAAGGACAGGAGAGGCCAGGAACCACGGAACAAGAATAAGACATCAAAAGGAGTTTTGTTGGGAAGGGGGGATGCTCTGGGGCGAGTTTCACCCATCCATGAAAGGGTGAGGGCTGGGGAAGTCACATGTGCTGGAGGCGAAAACAGTATCTATATAGGTCACTAGAGGTAGGAGGGCCTAGACCAACTAAATTGTTACTACTGTTAGCGGGTTGGCCAAGTTTAAGTTTAGGGGCAAGCTTAAGGCCCAGGTCTCTTCAGCCAGGTGAAAAGTCCCTGCCTATGGCCACCATGGAATGGGGAGGGGAAAGGGGAAGGGAAAAAGAAAGGAAAGCTGCTGGCTGGACATCCCGACCTCTTTGATGTTATAGGGCGCTGTTCTAATCTGGCTACTTCCTGCTGGTAGGGGGGGCATTGTCTAGGGAAGGTCAAGAGTTGGGGGCTTATTGGGAAGGTGGCTGTAGGGGTGGAGGAGCATCTGATTTACTGCCACCCATGAGACTTTGCTGATGCGGTTTCGGATAAATCTAAGACAAGGAGCAATCATTAGCAAGACACAGATCATGAGGATGGGGCCAACAATCAGACCCAACCAAGCAGTGAGGGCTGAGTTACACTATCCCAGGAGGAGTGAGGTAGACTGCTGCTGCCTTCGTTTCAGTTCTTCACTCAGCTATCATACATAGCACATCGATGTTTTCTTCTACTAGACTGGTCTCATTGATGTAATAGTAACATTCTTCCCTGAGGAACAGACAGGTACCACTTTGTCATCAGTGAGTAGGTCTAGGGCCTGCCTGTTTTGGAGAGATGTTATTTGTCTTTGGAGAGATGCCAGAAAGTTGGCAGAGGCTTCAACCACTTGCTGTAATTTTTCTTCAAGCTCTTTAGTTGTGATAAAACTATTGCCTGATGCCCCGGCCCCAATACCTGAGGCAGCCAGAGTTGAGGCAAGGGGAATGCCTATGATCACTGGAAGAAAGGCAGCCCGTTTAGATCTAGTGAGTGGAGGCAGGCTCAATGAGAGAAACTCAGCCTGTCCAGAGAATGTAAGTTGAGGAACTAGGATGACAGGGGTACAGAAAGGAGTGGCAGTAGAGGAGTTGATGACTTTCATCAATGTCTCATTATACCAAAAGAAAAATACTGGGGTGCTGGGACTTGGGAGGACACCATAATAGTCACATTGCATCTGGAGACAGTTTGGGAGGCATAGCAGATGGAAAGATTTTGCTGCTGCTGCAGGGGATTGTCAAAGAGGGGGATCCCCGTCAGAGGCAGAGATGCATCACCCCCTTGGAAGATGTTAAGAAGAAAGGTCAGAGGGACTGCCATTAAAGGGGGTGATCCAGAGCAGCACATAGAAAACAATCAGAAATATTATTGACACTAGAGTATTTTATTAGTTGTAACCTCTGACATTGTACAAGGGCCAGAAATGAAAATGGTCTCCCTTCTCTGCCTCGTGTGCCCCTAGTGGTGAATGAGTGCAGTTTCTTTCTGTAGGATTTTTGGTGGAGCACTCGGGTGTAGGTGTGGAAAATCTTAAGAGTTCCAAAGGGGGAAATGTCCCAGGGCCATACGTACAGCTTTCTCTCTACTCCTGCTGTCCAGCGATTATCCCAGGGATCTCTGATGTTCAGATAGGTCCTACCTCCAGAATAGGTATCTAGGAATTGGGTTGGGTGGTCTCTCTGAGCTTGTGCATATTGCAGGAAGTGTGAGGGCATCCTCCATAAATA